ACGAGGTAGGTCTGCATAGAGCTTTGTCTCAAATACGAGAGCAAATACCTATGGGTTTAATCGTTTAGAAAGTCCAGTTAGGATATTCCCGCAGTTGCGGTGAGACTCAGAAATCCTATTTCCACGAAATGAATGACTTTGCACTTTGGGACCTGTTTCCGTCTCCTACCAACCCTGTTCCCTATAAATTCGCCTGGTTTCTCTCCGTCCCTCTTTGCCATGTCTGCATCCTCTTTACGCAGTGACTTTCTGCCGACATGGAAAAAGCATGCATTTCCTAAGCTAATTCCTTGATAGCACACTCCTCTAAGAAAATTAAATTAAAAAAAAAATAGGAGCACTCTCGCCAGGGACCTCAAAGTCGTGGTTTAAGCCTCAGTCAAAGGTGGTCAGGGGTAGCCCGCCACCCTTCGGAAAATCACTTTTACTTACCGATCTGGAGGAAAGGAGCGCTCCCAGGCCGCAATCTTTTCTTCCGCATCCTCAGACAACTTCAGGCAGTCTTGGGTGGAGGGGGAAAAAACAGAAATCGGAAGGAAGAAAATAGATTCAATACATCACATATTCCCCGGAGCTACACCCTCAGGACTAAGTTGGGGCGAACTGACCACTACTGTGGGGAAAAGGTCGGTTTAGGGGCCAAGACTAAGAGGTGGTTATTTGAACTGCTGGTGGTTGGGGGAGGGGAGGCCCTGGAGAAGGGACAGGAAAGAGGGGATGGTTGGGATGAGAAAAGAAAGCCTTAAAAGAAAAAAAAAAAAAAAAAGCACACCAAAAAATGGAAAATGAAGTACTGTGGAAGAGTGCCTCTGAACTCTCACAGGTAGGTAGCTCTTAGAGAGAATGCAGACAGGCGAGTATGAGTTAAAGAAGAATCTAGATGACCCTTATTCTCTCTGTATCTTCAGGATCTGGCTTCATGGAGGGGGGGGGGGGGAAGAGGGTAGAATTTTAATGCAAGTTTCACCTACCCTGCTTGTTGGAATGGCTGCGCAGATTATCCTGTTGGAGAGTTCCATCTGTCTGGCAGAAGCTGGAGTGGCTTGGGGGCAGGTTATCTGCTGAAGTAGGAATGCACAGGAACCCCGCCCTCTAGGCACGGTTACACAGCCCCGGCATCCCATCTCAGCCAGCGCTAAAACCTCCAATCTTCACCTTCACCTTTTGCTAGCCTATTTCTCCAACAGGCATTTGTCCCCAAATTCAGCCAGACACTTTAACTATACATAAAATTAATATCTCAAAAGCAAAATTGCTTCAATGCATACAAGCTCCTCAGCAATGTTGTAGAAAATACACTTTTTAGAAATTAATTTACATACTTAGAATTCTAAATATATTCAATTTATCTGCCTATGTGGGTGAAATATGCAACTTGAATATATATAATCAACACACAAGAAGGTTCACTTTTTGCCTCTCTACCTTTGATTTTATGCAAGTTATAGAAATCACATTAAATCTTCCATAATCATAAGGATATTTGTATTAAATCTTGAAACATATTTGGAAGAATCCTTTCCTGCTCTAAGCCATTTTCTTAATGTTTTATATATTAGTAACTTATATTAACTTTATACCAGATAAATTCAAGTAAAATACTTTAAACCTAGAAATAAAACATAATTTGGAATTTCAAGTTATAAGTTGTGATCACTTTTAGTTCCAAAATCTCAAAAAGAACAATTTTCATCTCATTGAAAACAGTTATAACTATGAAAGAAGAAACAATTGAAAAGTTTTGAAAAATTTTTTCCTGGTATAAGGTAATTTTTAACTTTCAAAGATTGGTGAAAATAAATATTAATGCCATATTACAATCAATTTGTTGCAAAAAAAATCTACTAAATGCCACACTACATTGTTATTTTTTTAAAAAGATAACTTGAAGGATGATAGGATAAGACTGAAATAAATTAAATGTTCATATTGGGCAGTAGGAAGCCTTCACAGATTTCTCTGTCCCCCATTATATATATGTATATATATAATGTATCCAAACCGAATTTCAACTCCAGTCCTTAGTTCCTATGAATTCAAAGAAGTCAGTATTAATCTTGACTTCAAATTATGTTTGCCATTGAAATTCTATTTCTCCATAATGCAAATAAACACTTATCACAAATAAATATAGCGTTTTAATATGATTTAAAAAAATACTCGAGGGAATCTTTCTTCTAGATCTATGTCCTTTTAACTCAATATAAGAGTTCAACTTTCCAACTTTTGATCAGCAAAAGACTATATTTCTTCTGTGCCAGTACATTATCATTCCACAAATAAAATCCCCGATAAAAGCAAACACGTCATCACCTTTTTCAGTCTAAACACATGTTTTCCCTTCAGCTGTTTTTGTTCACAAATGCATCAGTGGGGATCTCCTTTGCCTTACCTCATTCACTTGGACTCTATCACTGTTTAATACCAGCCATAAATTTGGCTTCTAAAACAACTTATTTGTGGGGTTTTCTTTCATGCTTCATTCTGAAGAACTGTTAAGTTTTAAGCAACTTTGACCTTTGGTGAAATTGCTCTCTTATGAAAAAAAATAAAATCATATCCAGTCTGCTTAAAGGAGATAATTAAACTAACCATCTTAGTCTATGAGGTCCATTTCCTATTTGTACATAGTTGCTTCTAACTCTTTTAATTATTCTGGCCCTTATATTTCTGTCTTTCTTAAAAACCTCCCTTTCTTTCTCATTATTTCCTTTGGTAGTGGGGATTTTTATTTCTTTAAAGATCTTTTTTTCTTTCCTCCCTTCTCTCTCACTTTCTTCTTCTACCTCCATTCGCAACCCATCCATCCTCATATTCTAATATTAACTGTGCTGTATTTCTATTTCAAATCTATTTGAGTCACTCTTGCTTCTCTCCTACCTTGGCTTTATTTTTTTTTTTTCTCTCTGAGCAACTCTCTAAGTGTTTGCCGATAACATCTTGGGGACAGATTATTTTTCATTGGGCCCATTGTAAGAAGTAGCCAGCTTATTGCATTACTGCAGAACACATTTCAGACCATACAATTGTAACAAATGAACAACTTGTCCTCCATGGACTCACCACAGGATCCAATTAGTTACTAAACCTTTTACTTAGGTTTTATAATTATTTTCTGGAGTCATTGCAATAGGACTGCTGAAACAATTCAAAAATTATTTCATGTTGTTTCAAAATTTTATATATATATATATATGCATATATATGCATGCCTATGTATATTACAAGTTAAAATTATGACTATAAACAAAGAAACAAATCTCTAGATTATATAGACTTATCTAAAAGGGAATCAGATAAATACCTCTACGTTGCAAAAATGAAAGAAAATGAGAAAGAGGAATTTTACTGCTTCTGAATTTCTAGAACTTTAAATTGTTATAATTTAAAAATAAAATATAAACATTGGTCTGCAAGTCATTACAACAGGTGAGCACTTCAGCAAAATCTATATTGCAACTTCAGCACATCTTTATTAGAACTCTTTCATTGTGAGTAAACAACGACCAAAATAAATGCTGGCTTAGTATAAATACAAATATTTAAACAAAAATATTTGCAGCATTCATAGTGCAAATTTTACCTGAACTGAAGGGCTCTGTGTGTCTATATATATTACATATTGTGAGCATTATATTCACTTCGATCTGACCACATACATTTATTTATAGTTTGCCAAGTGGTATAAACAAGATACCTGAAACAAAATATATAAAAAGCATTCTATTGCCTGATTTGAAAATAAACACAGGGTAAATAACTATGCACAGTAAATTATCTCTTTTTTAGTACATCTACAGAAACTTTAAAATATCAGCTGAAAAGCCTATACTTTGTTTAAAGCTAGTGTTTATTAAATAGCCTGCTCCTTTGTAAAATTTGATTCCATAATGGAAAAAAAAAATACTCTTTTCATTTAAAGTCTCAGTTCAAATGAAAGGAGCGTTTACATTTTACTTGGCTAAAAAAGCCTTTGAATTCTCTAGAACTCAGCTCTACTTAATAAAAGAGACAAAAGTATCAAGTTATATATGAATTTAGCCTGTTTTTTATTTCTGTGTGTTCATAGTGAACATTTTTGTAAGCGACAAACACGGGCATATGACCACAGCATCACAATCAGATTTTAGACAACATTAACAATCACTCAAATTTTGCGGCATTTGCGCAACACAGGTTACATATTTGCAAGGTTTACCTATAAGTACAATAGGCATTAACATTTCACTACATTTAGAAAAAATAAAAGTGACCTGTTAGTGACCACATACATCAAAATATACACAACACAAACTGAAGGCAATCGTTAATTTTGTCCCCTTCCAATTCATTTGAATGGGCAGTGCTGCCAACTGAAACAACTTTCATTTTTTTTTAATACTTAATATACCAAGTGCATTTTCTAGAACCCAATCTTTGGTCTAAAAGTAAACAAAAGAAAAAAAAGTTTTTTTTTAAAAGAAAAGGACAAAACAATAAATGGCCAAAATAATCTCTTGGGCACCTTTACTACGAATGCTTCTTAAATACAAATTACAGTTTAACATTTAAAAAAAAAAAAAAAAACTCTTCCCCATAATTTAGGTTGTTCTCAAGGTCTACGGCCACCATTTAGATCCATGATAACTTATAATACTGCACACATGGAAATCTGGCGGCTCTTCAGACTTGTCGGGTTTGAATGAAATGGCAAAAGCAGTCACTATTTAGATACACGTGTTACTATAATTTTGACTCCCAGACTTTATATTCTACAACGTATTCTCCCCACATTGCACCTCGCTGACACTCCACACCTTGTTAGAAGAATAAACAACCCTAAAGACCGAACAAACGTACAGAAATGGCTGGGGGGTGGGGGAGGTGGAGGGAGGAGGAGGGAAGAAGGGAGGAAAAGGGGAGCGGCTTAATAAAAAATACCTGGACTTATTTTTTTTTTAATTATCATTTACAATGCAAATGTGTGTAAAACGTTCACTTACAGTCTGGTCCCAGGGAGGTTAATGTATTAGAGGGTTGGAGGAAGAGCCCTGGTTCTGGTGTGTGAAATAATCAGACAGTCCCCCGGACAGTCCCGTCGTGAAGCTGGGCAGAGAGGGTCTCAAGGACTCGCAGGGCAGCGTGGAGGGCGCCTGCGGCGACGTGGACGCGGACGCGGCGCGCGCGCCCATGGACGCGCCCGCGCTCTGCGAGGAGCTCATGGACGGGTGCGGGACGTGGGGGAAGAAGTAACTGGTCTGGCCCGCCAGCAGGTTGACGGAGCAGGGGTTGAGCGAGTAGGTCCCGGAGCAGGGCACCGACAGGCCGCACGGTACGGAGGCGGCGAGCGCGGCGGCGGCCGTGAGGTGGTGCGTGGCGTAGGGGATCTCGCCGTTGACCAGCCGGTCCACGCTCAGGCCGTTGGCCGTGGAGAAGGAGTGGTTGTTGCCCAGCGAGTTCTGCGTCAGCACCGAGCTGTAGGGCATCGGGTGGCTCGGGTAGGCCGACGCGGCGCCGTTGTAGCCCAGCGTGCCGCCGGCGCGCGGGTGGTGCAGCGACAGGAAGGGCGACATGGGCCAGTAGAGGGAGCCGGCGCGGTCCATGAAGGTGAGGCCGGTGGAGGCGAGGCGCGCGCCGCGCTTGAAGGCCAGCTTGGCCCGCGACGTGGTGGAGCGGCGGCGCAGCTTGCCCGTGGTGCCGCCGATGAACACGTCGTCGCTCGACGGGTCCAGCATCCAGTAGTTGCCCTTGCCCGGGTCGTCGTAGTGGCGCGGCACCTTCACGAAGCACTTGTTGAGGGACAGGTTGTGGCGGATGGAGTTCTGCCAGCCCTGCTTGTTCTCCCGGTAGTAAGGGAAGTTCTTCATGATGAACTCGTAGATGCCGTTGAGCGTGAGCCGCTTCTCGGGGCTCTGGCGGATGGCCATCATGATGAGCGCGTTGTAGCTGAAGGGCGGCTTCTCGTACTTGCCGTTCTTCTTGTCGCCCTCCTTGCCCCCCTCCCCGTCCTTGCCGCCCTCGCCCGCCCCCTTCTTGTCCTCCCCCGCGCCGCCGCCCGCGCCCTTCTCCTTCTCGTCCGGCCCGACCACGGCCGCCGCCAGCTCCCCGGGCCCGCCGCCCGCCTCGCCCTTGCCGCCCAGGCCGCCGTCCGCTTTGGCGCCGTCCAGGGCGGCGGCGGCGGGCGGCGGCGGCGGGAGCAGCAGCGGCTGCGGGCCCTTGTCCTCGTCGGGCCCCGGGGCGGCCCGCGCCTGGGGGGGCTGCGGCGCCTGGGGCGGCGGGGGCTGCTGCTGCGGCGGCGGCGGCGGCGGTTGCGGTTGCGGCGCCGGCGGCGGCGGGTGGTGGTGGTGGTGGTGGTGGTGGTGGTGGTGCTGGGGGTGGTGGCTGTTGTGGTGGCCGTGGCTCGCGTGGTGGTTGTCGTTCTGGACCGCCTCCGGCACCAGGCTGTTGATGCTGAACGAGGACTTGGGGATCATTTTCACCTCTTTCCTATCTCCCATGTCCAGCATCACCCGGTCGTCGAGGGGCGGCGGCGGCGGCGGCGGCGGCGGCGCGGGAGCGGGGCAGCGGCGCGGCGGGCGGCGGCGACCGGTGGGTGTGGAGCGGGGCGCGGGCGGCGCGGGCGGCGGCGGCGGCGGCACCGAGCGCTCCGGCGGCGGCAGCGCAGTTGGACCGCAGGCTCCGGCGCTGGCAAGTCATGTAGCACCGGCAGCAGCCACCCCTCAGGAATTAGAAGGAAGAAAAAAAAAAAAAAAAGAAAAGGAAAAAAGAGAAAAAAAGAAACCACCACCGCCCCGGGGGTGAAGCTCCCTCGCTCCCAACTCTACTTCTAGGTCCCCCCCACCCCCCGCTCCCCCCCCCTGCTGCTTCCTCCTCCTCCTCCTCCTCCTCCTCGCCCAGCAGCAGTCACAGCAGCAGCAGCAGCAGCAGCCCGCAGGGGGGGAGAGCCGGGCGGCGGGCGGGCGCGTCCCGGAGCGGCCGCGGCGAGCCGGGGAGACGGCGATCGAGGCGGCTATAGCCACAATTAATTTCCCGAGCTCCGGGCGCACACTAGGGCTGTAAAAAAATTTTTGGTTTAACCTTTCCTACAGCTGGGCCAATCAGAGCCGGCGGCGTGCGGGAGCGTCTCTCCCGCCGTCGGCCAATCAGCGGGCCCGGGCCCACCCACCCACGCCCCGCCCACCGGCGCACGCCCCCATCCGGGGCCCCGCCTCCCCCGCTCGCCGGGGCCCGGGCCTCGCGGAGCGGCGCAGGGATACGCCGGCCCGGGGAGCACGCTGCGCCGCGGCCCCTCCGCGCGCCCCCCGCGCCCCGCCGCCGGAGTCCCCTCTTAGGGCAACTGTGTCTCACGTCCCGCCTCCCTCCTCAGTGCGTTGGGTCACTTTGGCTTGAGCGTCAGTATTTGTCCTTATTGATTAAAGTTTGTATCCGGTTTTGTGTTTAATAGCGAGGGCGGCGGCGGCGAGGAGCGGGGGCGTGCGGGGAGAGGCCGTGCGGAGAGGGCAGGAAATGGAGGCGCGGGCGGAGAGGCGCTGCTGGGCGCTCCCTTCCCCGCCGGGCCGCGGGCCGCCCAGGCCTCCCGCGCCCTCAGGACGGTGTGCCCTGGAGGTGCCCCCCGGGAGGGTGCGGGTGGCGGGGGCGGAGAGGCCCGCCCGGCGCGGGCAGGGGGCCCCGCACCTTGCGGGGGTTGGCCCGGGAGGGTTGGGACGGGGCTGAGGCGGAGGACGGGGCCGGCGCCGGGCGAAGCCGGGTTATTTACTTGGTTGCTGGGCCCCGGCGGCGGCGAGCGCGGGGCTGGGGTCGGGCGCCGCCGGGGAGCCCGGCCCGGGGCTCGCGGGGGCGGCGCAGTGGTGGGCGCCCAGGAGGGGCCTTCCGATGAGGGATGTTCAGAGAGAAAACCGTACCGATCTCGAAATAAACCAGGTAACACCTGCCATGTCGCTGCGTCTCTTCCTTCCCCTCCGTCCTTCTCCGGACGTCGCTCCCGCGCCGGTGGCTCGCGGGTTCTCCGCGCCGCTCCGCGTCTCCGCCGCTTCCAATCCGAACTGGGAGCGAGCAGGCGCAGCGATCACCCCGGCAGTGTGTTCATTCTGCTTGTTGACATTGGAGGGAAAATAGGGATGGGCGTCTTATTTCTCTCCGGGTTTTTTTTTTTTTTTAAAGCCTTCCTATTTTCACTCCTTTCTTTCCTTCTCTGACATGCTTCTAATCTGGGCGAGCCTTAGTCCTGGAACAACCGCACACCAAAGCAGCCCTTTCCCCCCCTAATGCTGGTGGAAGGCTCCTAGGAGCATGGGGAAAGCGCACCCCGCAATCCCAGCTTCTGGGGTGCTGGGACGGGGAGGTGCGGCTGAGGCTGGAGTGAGAGGGGAACTTGTGATTCGGGGGCTTTAAAGGGATCCCGTGGCCAGGGGCAGGGCTAAGGCCCAGCATTTCCCAGGGATTGGAATTCGGTTCGGAGCACACTGATCAAAGGCTGTTTCATCCCACATGGGCACGAAACACACCACTCTTACAGAGGATCTAGGCGGAGAGAAGAGGGAGGTGGAGGAGAAATATAAATGAAAAGCACCCTTTTTCCTCCTCTGTAAGGTAAATAACCATAAAATGTAGACATTTCTTCACTTCGATGAACTCAAGTCAACTGGCAGATGTGGTATTGAAGAAAACAAAGGAAGAATAAAAGGATGTAGTGTTAAATTTTAATTCTAATATAAAGAATGCAGTTAATGAATAATCAGGATGATAGGGAGTTTCCACCCTTCGCACCCCACCCTCACCTTGAAATTCTGAGAGAATAAACTCTGAAGAGAAAAACAGATAATTACAAAATTGGTGATTTTTAAATATGCTTCTATTAGGAATGCCATAAGAGACCTTTGGACATTGGACTAACCTTCACTATCCTTCCACCTTATGTATGTATTTTCCCCCAACCCCAATGTCTACATATTTTCTTACTTTAAAGCCAACTATATTTACACGCGAGGGGAAATCCAAGGGTTTCAGCTACCAACGTTGTTGATAGTGACAAGGCCCCCAACATTGACTTCTAAGCTCAGATTTCCTACGGGAGGAGCCCGGTGAGCTAATGGGCCTTTTGGACCAGGCTGGAGAGTTCTCTGGACCCTCCTTTTCCTGCTCGCTTTTCCTCCTCCCACTCTTCTCCCCTCCTCTGGCTTGTTATTCCTTCTTTTCCTCAACTGCCTTTCCACCCTCCTCCCCTCTCCCACCTCCCTCTCTCCTCACTACCCCACCCTTATCCTCCATTCCTCTCCCTCTCTCCATTCCTCCACCTACTCCCCGTTTCTCTCCCCCTCCCACAGCCCCCCTTCCCAGCGCCACTTATAATGGCACACAAGGGCTCCCTCTGAGGTGGACGCCCGGTACGTTTTCGTAGTCAGTCTAGCGTGAAATGATTCGGTGTAACCGGATTCTTGGGAAAGGACAGGTTACGTAAACATTTACTGATGTGGAGTAACTATACTATTTGTACTCTGATATGCAGGAAGGAAAGTGTTGATTAACACAGAAGAAAAAAAAAGCGAAATTAGCTGATTGCATGCTCATAAGTGCAAGCTGTCATTGAACTGCTTTTAAAATAGACACAGCTGGGTGTTTGTGTTGAAAAATTTCTTGTGTTTTTGCTAATACTGAAATAAGCATGATTTTGTATACCAAACATTTTCAGATCATTAAAATTTGTAATCTGTGCTGGTTTTAAACACAAAGAAAAGAAACAGAATCATTTCGATGTAAAATTTGCTGATATTATATTAACTCAATCAGGTCTGTACAAATTGTGCATTGTGCTTCCTAAAATCTGTTTGATCAATTTAATACACAAAGTGCCAAACGTGGGTATTGTTTGTTAACATTGGGCATTTTATTCAAATCCAAGCTCAGCAGCAAAGTGGAGGAGCATTCTTGAATACACCACCAGCCCTGACTGATGAATTTTTAATGTTTGAAGGTATTTCTTAGGTCAAAGCTGAGTGTGCATTGTTTTTGTAACCCTGCATGAAATTTTAGCAGGTGGAAATAAGTTTTTCTTCTGTTTACTTTCAAACAGCAAAAACTGGAGTCTGCTAATGAGAGCTGTAATAATCTGATTTTATGTGTCAGGAGCTTATATTGATTAGAAAAATGTTTTATATGCATATTAAGAATGTGTTATATTATTTTAAGGACTGCATGAATGCAAGTCTTCCAAAATAGGATATTTGTGTAGGAATAAATAGACTATAGTTTACTATGATCATATTAAAGATCTGGGCTCCCTAATGAAAAAGGTCATTTGCAATTTTGGGTGAAGTGAGCTTGAATTCCTGTTAATAATTTTAATTGGGCTTTGTAGCGGGATAGAGTGCCATATATAGGTGTGGGGGTAGGCTTGTTGAACAAAACATGCACTGTTTACCCAGCAGCCCACATTTGTCTCAGCAATGGCTTCTTTTTAGAACTGCTACTAGATGAACTGAAGGGGGAGGGGGTTCTTGGACAGAGTATTTTGCAAGTTGAAAGTCCCTAGATGAAGCTTTGTCTATCTTACTGAACAGTTTGGGTGCAAACTGGGTTTGAAGGACTGCCCATGTCCACTTCGGGCTTCTTTCCTAAGCACATGAAGCCCTGACTTTGTATTTCCGCCTCACTCAGTCTGGGACCGTGATTGTTGTCAAAAGACAAAGGGCGCCTAGTGGTCTCAGGTCTGAAACAAATTCTATATCATTCTAATATTTTTTCATCAGCAGCTTAATTTTGAGCTCACACATATACATCTACAAATGCACATTGTCAATGAATCAAAGTGTAAGTCAGAGCAAATGTAATTTTCTGGTATATATAGTGGTGAACTTCTTCTCGGGCTACCACTACCCCACATCACCCCCCACCCCCACCAGAAAGAAGGACAGACTCAGTGAGCAGTTCCAATGGAAGAATTGCTTGGGAAATGAGTTAGATTATTCCGTTTCTAGTTGTAATGAATAACCAAGGCCCCACAGCCTATTGCATCCCAAGAGGGAGCAGTGCATTTCTTTTAATCTTTGGCGGTGATGCATTGTCTTCCTTAGGGCCTATTTCCAGCTTTCCGAGCTTCCCTTCCTTTTTCCTTGTTACCTGCTTGATAAGGAGGGCAAGTCTTTCCTACCTAAAACCCACCCTGAACCCAGCTCCTTGGATAGGGTATCCCTGAGGGGGTGCCCAGCGTCCAGCTCCAGCTAAAGCTCTCTTCCTGCAGATGCTCAGAGAGTCCCTGACCCCGTGATGTTTGGGAGAGAGTGGAGCCCGTGCAGAGGCATCCAGGTATTTCAGAGATCCTGTAACAAGAAAGGTCGCCCCCATTTGAGCCAAGTTCTCTGTAATCCCTTCCTAACAGCAGGCAATGGTGCTAACGTTTAGTGATTATAAATTACTCTTTAGCGTGTTGTATCCTTGTTCTGTGGGTTTTGGTTACAGGTTATAAGATTAGGTTTGCGAGAACAGTAGTGAACTAAACTTCTCAGTAAGA